ACCTCATCTGAGACCACTCTTCTTCGCCTTGTCTGGCATAAAACAAACAAACCCACCACCATTGAGTCAATTCTGACTCATAGTGACCCCATAGGGCAGGGTATAACTGCCCACATAGCTTTTGGGGACTAGGTAACACTCTTTACAGGAGTAGACAGCCTCATCCTTCTCCTAAGTAGCAGCTGGTCATTTTAAAGTGCTGACCTTGAGATGAACAGCCCAACAATTCATGGAAAATTTTATGGAGATAAAATGATAAGGAGAAGTTTCCATAATCTTTTTGAAAGCCCCAAAAGTACTCTTCCCTCTACCTTCAGATAGAGTTCCACTATTACCCATATGGTCCTCACTAGTTATTTGCTTTAAAAATTGCTTACCAGTACCTTCTGAGTCGTGAAACTCTGCTGAAACTTGGCCACCATGGGAGATCTTGTTGGTACCGGATATACCGTATGTACTTGTGTTTAAGCCGAGTTTTTAATGCAGTTTTTGTGGTAAAATTAGGTGCCTCGACTGATATTCGGGTTGGCTTATACTCGAGTATATAAGGTATTTGAAAATCTGATGACATGATTCCCAAGCATCACACCAATATACAAGAGACTACAATCCAGCACATTGTCAGGCAATTGGTAGCTTTTAGACCTATAATATTAGTGAAGTTTCATAAAACCTGAGAGAGAATTTATCAAAAAACTATCTCTTTTCCTTTAAATAAATCCCTAAATTGAAGGGAATTCACAGGGACTTGTTTCAAATATTCCAAGCCTAACAATTTGCATATTAGTTAAATTGTTCCATAGCATAGAGAGAAAATGAGAGCTGCCAGTTTGTTTGTTTTTTCCCTTTCAAGAAATTGACAAAGCACTGAGATCCTAAAAATAGTAGACAGGAGAAGGAAAATATGGAAGTTAATAATGCATACCCTCTGAAGGTTTTAGTAACAGAATCCAGTGGTGTGTTAAAAGATTAATTTGCCACAGCCAAGCTTTTTACCGAATGTATGGATAATTCAACACTGTGAAAGTGTTTTTATACTAAACTAATTCAACATATTAATAGATCATAAACCTGAACACCTTAAGATAAGTTCAATAGTGTTTAAAGGCATTAGAAACAATTCACTATCCAGTACTGTTTCAAAAACAGTTGGTAAACAAACAAACAACAATAAAAAAAGTTGGTGGCATACGAATAGATGGCCACTTTAACATGTTAATTGTGACCTGCTAGATATATCTTATGAATATCTGAAATGAGACAATGATGCCAATTAGAATGCTTTTCTGAAAATTCTAAAAGTACTAGTCAGTACATATAGATGAAGAGATAAGAGAATAAAATAAAAAGAGGCTTGAAGAAGGTCTTCATTTTCATATGATAGGGCATTACCACCCCCCCACCCCCCACCCCCGGGGCAACAAAACAAAATACTTCACTCACATGGAGTTAATCCTGACTCATGGGGAGCCTATAGGACAGGGTAGATCTGCCCCTGTGAGTTTCTGAGACTGAAACTCTTTACAGTCTTTGTTCCCAGATAAATCCAAAGTATTTCAAAATACAAATCAGCTAGGAAATGACTGGAGACAAGAGAACATTCATCACCAAAATATATATATATAAACCAATAGGTTTCCTACATATAAAGGTCCACTATTTGGAAAATAAGGAGCTGTAGTGGCAGGTTAGCCAATGTATTAGTGGCTCAATACATGGGGCAGTGAACTGAAAGGTCTGCGGTTAAAACCCACCAGCAGCCCTTAGGTAGAAAGATTTACAATCTCAGATATCCAAAGGGGCAATTCCTCTCCACCCTAAAGGGTCGCAGTGGGTTTGGCTTTTTGATTTAGAGCCCCGGTAACACAGTGCTGAATGATTTAGAGCCCCGGTCACACAGTGGTGAAAGTGCTCATCTGTGAATGGAAAGGTCTGTGGTTCTAATGCACCATCACCTCTTCAGGAGAAAGATGTGGCAGTCTGCTTTAGGAAAGATTTGTAGCCTTGGAGACCCTATGGGTTAACAATATTCTGTCCTAAAGGGTTACTTACTATCAGTCACAATTGGACAGCAGTGGCTTTGTCCTGACCGGACAGTGGTGACTTTTTCTTGGTTTGATATTTAGAAAAAAAAAAGATAGAAAAAGTTATTATCTTGCCCTTGACAGTGAAAAGAGTAACAAACAAATGAATAATCTTCACAGAAATTATGCAGAACTTGTAGGGGAAATACAACTAACAATGAACTTTCAAATAAATACTCAGCAAAAGAAAGCAAATCACTTTGGAATTCCAAAACTCTTTCAGTATAACGCTTGGAATAAATTAGTAATGCAAACTTTAATTTTTAAATTTTTTACTTCATAGAAAAAGATTGAATCACCTTGTAGATTTAGCCAGAGTGGACGTGACTAGTTCAGTATCTAATAGTTTTCAGTCTTGTTATTTTAATAAAAGAAGAAGAGTTAAAATAAGTTGAGGAAGATTGGAGTAAATGATAAACGTAGGGAAAGCAGCAAGTGGTATTTGAAAAAGATACAGTTCATTAAATTACCAGTTGGATAATATAATGGGACCATTAAATAAAATGGCCCAAGTTTTTAACATAACAATGAAAGACAAATTAATGAATAAGATTAACTCTTCAATGAAAAAAACAGGAGAGAGGAAAAATTAGATTTTTTTTGCTTGGTTTTGTTGCCAAATTTTTTTGGTTATGCCAATCTGTTACATCAGCAATTGAAAATGAGTATATCCTGTATCCTATTACAATTACACAAACAACCATAAAATTCAGTTTTGACATCTTGTAGTCTTAAATCAAGAGAAAGACAGGGTCTTCTACTCCCATAAAGTGTTGCCGGCGTGGAAACCCACAAGGGCATATCTACCTGATCCTACCTGATCAAAATGAGCCAATCAACTCAATGGAAGTGAGTTTTTGCATTAAATGAGATACACCAAAAGTAGGAAGCCTGAGTGCAGAAAAATAAAGCAAAACAAAGAAGGGTGGGGAAAAGTGCCCATTGCAGCTGTTTCTGGACAAAGGCAGTTTCCCTGGACGCTAATACAGCCTATTGTTATTTATAATCCATTTCTTTGGTGGTATCTAGGTTCTAGGTTTCCCCATGCCCAGCTTAAAATCTGAGATTTTATTACTATGGGAGAGGTGAGAATATGTACTGGAGAACATCTGGATTATTGCTTTATATTTAGAACAAGATAAGCAAATCCTATTGAAACTCATGAAAAAAATCGCCCACTAATACCAATCGCTTTCTTGATTACATTATAATGGTCCACACACTAATATATTGTTCATTCTATTTGGTCGTCAAACAGCTTTGACTGGGTAGAACAGACGAATAGAAACCTTTTAGAGAAGGTGAAAGTAAAATGCAAATAAATCAAGTGTTTTGAACACAGTCGTGAGCGCCAGAGCAAGCATTTATCCTGCCTTTCCACTCTATTCCATGATCTCCAGTCGGCCCCAGAGGAGCCACAGAAAATGCTACTTGAACAGAACCACTCTCCTTATCTTCTTTTTTTCCCCTTTTTTGACTTTCTCCATTAATCTTTTTCAATCAAGTTCGTGACAAGTTTAATCCCTTCCCAAATACAGAGCTCCACATTTTTTGAAGTGAGAATTGGAAGTTGCAAAGTAAGTGAAGTGCTCTTTTCTAGAATTTCCTGAAAATCAAAATTAAAAATGCATTTGTTGTCCCTACAGAAATTCCATTGTAAATATGTTTCCTGTCCTAATGTTTTAAAGTCTGATTTGTTATTAGACATCTGTGCTTTGTAGAATAAATCATTAGAGACTATACCTGTATCATCTATTATATGTCAGGGTTGTGAGCAAAGGGACCATTAGGGATATAGTTACAGTCTCAGAAATGCAAAGGTGCAGTTCTACTTTTTCCTATGGGGTTGCTATGAGACAGAATCAATCAATGGCAGGGAGTTGTCTTTTGGGTGATTTTGAAGTCGATGAAGAGTACATAGTAACTGAAGACCATTATTATCAGTTCCAATGAGTTGGCTAGGTAGCTGTCTTCCAAATTTCTTGGCATAGATGAGTGAATGTTCCCAGTGCTTCATTAGCTTGCTAAGGCATTTCCATTGATATTCCATCAATTCCTGGAACCTTGTTTTTGGCTAATGCTTTCAGTGCCGCTTGGACTTCTTCCTTCTGTACCAGTGTTCTTGATCACATGCTACCTCCCGAAATGGTGGGATATCCACTAGTTGTTTTTGGTACAGTGACTGTGTATTAGTTCTAGTTCCTTTTGGTGTTCCCTGCATCACTCAATATTTTACCCATAAAATCTTTCAAGATTATTACTCAAGGCCTGGATTATTTCTTTAGTTTTTTCAGTTGAAGTTATGCTGGGCATTTTCTAACCTGGCAAATCAACCTTTCTTTCTTTTTCTTTCTTTCTCTCTTTCTCTCTCTCTCTCTCTCTCTCTCTCTCTCTTTCTTTCATTTTATTTAAATACTTTTATTGGGGGCTCTTGCATCTTTTATCACAATCCATACATCCATCCAGTGTGTCAAGCACATTTGCACATATGCCGCCATCATCATTTTCAAAGCATTCTCTTCCCACTTGAGCCCCCAGATATCAGATCCCCATTTCATCCCCCTCCTTCCCCCACCCGCCCTCCCTCACAAACCCTTGATAAGTTATAGATTATTATTTTCATATCTTACATCATCCTCTGTCACCTTTCACCAATTTTTCCGTTGCTCATTCCCCTGAGAGGGGGTTCTAGGTTGATCCTTGTGAGAGATTACCCCTTTCTCCCCCCACCCTCCCCTAATCTTCCTGGTATCTCTACTTCTCATTGTTGGCACTGGGGGGGGGGTATCTATCCTGGATTCTCTTGAGTTGTGGGCTCTTGTCTGTAGCAGTGTGCATGTTCTGGTTTAATCTGATTTGTAAGGTAGAATTGAGGTCATGATAGTGGGGGGAAGGAAGCACCAAAGAACCAGAGGAACTGCCCCTAGAGGCGTTGCAGCATGGCCACCCTGCCACAGCTGTGTCATTAGAGGGCAGAGAGAAGAGGGGCTATGTCTAGGCTCAGGGGTCTGACGTGAACCACCTGACTATGACTGCTAGCTCCACAGTCCTATTGCACCTGTGTGACCTGGGCCACCTGGGGAACCTGAAGGGTGCCGGGGAGAGGGGTTCCCTGCTAACTCATGTTGCAAAGTGACAAGATCCTGGCAGCTGGATGATAGGGGATGGGCACCATTGACTTTGGGGGGGTAGGGCACCTGAAAGGTGTCCCTGCCCACTGTAGGGGAGTCCGAGCAAGCCCATGTCTAAGGGTGAATTGGGAGGGGGCTGGCTCGCCCACAGCTGACTAGTTGCCTTGTCCTCTGTTCAGAAATATTAAAAATATTTTTTAAAAACTAGAGAAAAGTATGTTTCATTGGTGCTATACTGCACCCTGACTGGCTCATTTCTTCCCTGTGACCCCTCTGTAGGGGGATGTCCAATTGTCTACAGGTGGGCATTGGGTCTCCACTCTATGCCCTCCACCCATATTCACCTTGGGTATGATTTGTTCTGGGTCTTAGCATATCAACATTTCTTAAAAAAACAACAATAGGAATTCATTGTGTAGATAAACTATTTTTTGTTCATGCAGTCACTTGTTGATGGACATTTTGATTGCTTCTAGTTTGGGGCCAGTGAAACGAAACTTGTCTGAATATCTGAACATTTTTGAACGAGTCACTGAATGGACATTTGTCTCCATATCACTTGAGCATATACCTGGATGTAGGATTGCTGGTTTATATTGTAGGTGGCATGTTTATGTGTTTTTGAATTCAAGTTAATCTAGTGTTGCCTATATATAGTATAAATTACATACAGTTTAATGGACCTTTTGTTAGTTGATAGTCTGACATACGTAAGCTGGTGTAATCACTACTATAAACAAGATTGCAATTAATCCATCACACTCTCGGTCTCCTACACTTGCTGTTTGCATGTTATATGTATTGATATCCATTTACAGTAAATGTCCTATAGACAAAAATAATTTTGGCTTTTTATATCAGATACTTTCTGCTGCTTAATTGGAATATTTAAAAGATGATCACTTTAGAGGTTTACGTATTTGAATTGAAAACTACCACTCTGTTATTGGCTTGATGTTTGTAACTTCCCTCTTTTCCTAATTTCCTGTCATATTTCATATTGTTTAAATATATTTTAGTTTTCAATTTTGACTTACCTGTGGTTTTTTTGTCTCTATATATTTCTCCTTGGTACTGATTGCTCTTGGAATTAAAATACGCATTTCTAATCTAGCATAGGTTACTGGGGGTACTACACATAAAACGTCAAAAACTTCCTACTGAATTACCATCCCTCCTGCTTGTATTTGACAGCTGTCATCTTTATTACATATACGACCATTTTAACTTTTACCAGAAAATGTTATTAGTTTCAAAGCCATATAATTCAGTGCAGTCCCCTTGGTTTCCACGTATTGAATATGTACAACTCACTGCCCGGCCCACTCCATTCTCACCAATCTTTATTGTGATTGAGTCCATTGATTCTGCCACTATGTCAATCTGTCTTGTTGGGGGTCTTCTTTTTTTATGCTGACCCACTAGCTCCAAGGACTGTTCTCTCTTGACAGCATGTCAAAAGTATGTGGGACAAAGTGTTTCCATCCTTGATTCTAAGGAACATGCTGGCTTTACTTCTTCCAAGACATATGTATTGTTAATTTTTCACATAAAAGTACTCTCTATTTATCCAGAGATTTACCATTTCTAAGATCCTCACTCACTCTTAAATGTCCATGTCTTCCCCAGCTATCATTTTCCTTCAATCAAAATTTTCTTCCCCATTTCAGGTAGTGTAGGTCTGCTGACAACCTATTATTTTTGTTTTCATATGTATACGTACATCGTATATATGTGTATAATAAAATTTTTATTCCAATATACTATTTTCACTGGATAGTGTACTCTGGGTTACATTTTCCTGGTTATTTTTATGATGGACAATCTTTGTTTTATTCTGGCCTTGTAAATGTTATGTGGTATAGATGGCCTGAGGATTATCGGTGCCTTTTGTTTAGGTGGTAGTTGACATGTTTAGATTCAAACCAAGTTCTGCTTCATCTTCTGTGGCCAGGATTCACATTTCAGCTCACTTCTCCAAGAGTTCTTTGTGCTGCTTTCAATCAGTCTTGCCTATCCAGGATTCAGAGATGAACCCCAGTGGTTTGCATGTTTACAGAGGCCTTAAGAATGCCATACTCAGTTTATCTCCCAGTGAGCCGCCCGCCCCTCACTTTCTAGACACTGACCATGGATTTCCAGGTACCTTTATGATTTTATCCAATCTTCTATCAGAGGTTTAGTTCCATGGATGGCATAGCATTTGCTTGTATGCTAACCTCAAAGCTGGATCTTTGAGAATACCAAGTGAAGCCACCGTTCTTCCATGAAGATGACATGCACGAACACGCTATGAAGCAATTCTACTTCCTAGGTAATGCATGGGGCCACCATGGTGGGTTTGGATTTGGTTAATTACAGTTTTTAAGTCTTTTTACTCCATCCCCGTGGCCTATTACAGTGAAAAAATAAGCAAACAAACAATTACAAAGGTAAACTCATCAATCTTTCACTTCAAGTTTTTTTATAATCTTATTATCTTTTATTTTTTAATTTTCATATCATTTTATTGGGGGCTCATACAACTCTTATCACAATCCATACATCAATTGAATCAGGCAATTCATGTCTGGTACATATCTTGCCCTCATTCTCTTCTAGACACTGACTTTCTATTGAGCTCTCAGTACTAGATCTTTTATTTTTTTCTTCTCCCTGTCTCCCCACCCTCATAACCCCTGATAGATTGTTATTATTTTGATCTCTCACACACGGATCGCTGTCTCCCTTCTCCCATGTTTTCTGTTGTTCTTCCCCCTGTAGAGGGGTGTATGGGTTTTGTGTTGATCATTGTGATCGGTTCCCCCTTTCTCCCTTCCATCCCCCCCTTCCCTCTACCCTTCCAGCATCACCATTCCCACCATTCCCATTCCTGTGTGTCGTGAGCTCCCATCCCTTCCTATACCTGTGTACATGTCCCGGTCTCGTCTGAACTGAAAAGAAGCACTGGGGTCATGGTAGTGGGGGGGTGAGGAAGCCTCAAGGAACCAGAGGAATATAGTGTGTTTCATTGATGCCTTACTGCACTCTGGCGACTTCTTCAAGTTTTGACTCCCATCCATAATCTGCTTTTCTTGCTCTTCATAATCCTCTTATATTTTAGGTTTTGTTTTTATTTTGATTTGTGTTTAATTTTTGGTTGTTGTTATTATGAGATCATCCCTGATCTCATTGGGGGAGGTTAATTTCTGGTGAGATTGCATTGCCATAAAAGAAACGGACTATTTTAACAAGATCTCCAGAGACTCTGTGTGCATTTCCATGATAGCCAAGAATCTTATTCTTGGTTTCACATTAAAATCACTGGAGAGAATCTTTTAAAAATAACGTCACACCTAAGATCCAGCCAATCAGAAACTTTTTGAGTGGGATCCGATTTTGTTGGTATATATCAAAGCTTCCCATGTGTGTCCAGCATGCATGTGAAACCAGAACAATGGCAGAGGAAATGCAAAGGAGAGTTGACACATTTGACGAATGGTGTTCATGAATAATATTGGGTATACCGTGGACTGTCAGAAGAACTAAACAAATCTGTCTAGGAAGAAGTAGAGCTGGAATGTTCTTGAGAAGCCAGAATGGCAAGATTTCTTCTCCCTTACTTTGGGCATCTTCTTAGGAGGGAGAAACACTTCATATGTAATGAGGTAGAGGGTCAGAAAAAAAAGAAGAAAGCCCTCAATGGCATGGATTGACAGTCTGTAACACAAATTCAAGCATAGCAATGACTTGGAGGATAGCCCAAGGCTGGGCAATATTTTGTTCTCTTGTATGTAGTGTTGTTATGACTCAGAACAGGCTCAAAGGCAACTAACAGCAACAACTTGTGATTCCAAAATACAGTCAAATTTGAGAGTCCCTGTCATGTATTATTTTGACATATCAGTTATCTTAAGAGTTTTAGGATAGAGATTGCCATCTTATATTTAGAAGAGGTTATCCAAAATTTGTGTGGAAAAAGATATTTAACAACTAGGTAAGTATTTCTCATATACTGCATTGTCTAGTGACTACTGGCATAAGAATCCCCCAAGTCTTAAAAAAATAAAACAAAATAAATATAGGCTTGCTATTCCATGTTAAGATAATTAGAATAGTTGAGAATGGAGTGTAAGGAAGGGCATTTTATTTATTTATTTATAATCATTTTGTTGGGGCTCATACAATTCAGCACAATATATCGATCAATTGTGTAAAGCACACCTATGCATTTGTTGCCCTCATCATTCCCAAAATTCGCTTTCCTCTTAGGTTCCTGGAATTAGCTCATTTTCCTTTTCCCCCTTCCCCCTCCCTCTTTTCTCCCCCCTCCCCCATGCACCCTTAATAATTTATAAATTATTATTGTATCTTATATTACACTGCCCGGCGTCTCCCTTCACCCACCCCTCTGCTGCCCATCCCCCAGAGAGGAGGTTATATGTAGATCCCTGTGATCAATTTCCCCTTTCTACCCCCCCCCCCCTTCCCTCCTGGTATCGCCACTGTCACCCCTGGTCCTGAGGGATTCATCTGTCCTAGATTCCCTGCGTTTTCAGTTCCCATCTGTACCGCTGTGCATCCTCTGGTCTAACCAGGTTTGCAAGGCAGAATTGGGGTCATGGTAGTTGGGGGGAGGAAGCGTTTAAGAACTAGAGGAAGGTTGTGGGTTTCATTATTGCTATACTGCACCCTAAGTGACTCATCTCCTCCCCACTACCCCTCTGCAAGGTATGTCCAGTTGTCTACAGATGGGCATTGGATCCCCATCACGCGCCACCCTCATTAATGATGATATGATCCCCCCCCTGCCTTTGGTGTTTGAAGCCTAGTCCCTTCACCCTTCATGATCACACATGTTGGTGTGCTGCTTCCATGTGGGCTTTGTTGCTTCTGGGCTAGATGGCCGCTTGTTTACTTTCAAGCCTTTAAGTCCCC